ATGAAGGCAGAAGTAGCAGGAACACTGCAGAGGTTATGAGGGTTGCGTGTCCGCCTCAGACAAGCAATGGGAGAGGAATGATGATGCACCTCACTAAGTGCTCACAGCTGAGGGCAGCAGTTTCAATTAACAAGACAAAGGCCAAGGGCATGGCCTCGGGGTACTAGAAACCAAACTCTAATTGACTTAAGTAGAGCTGCTCCTGAATCTCAAACTCCTGACTTCCCCATCAGACACAACGTAAGAACAATTTCTCTTATTTTTTTTTGAGTACGACCAAAAAAAAACGAATGCTGTAATTAAATCAAAAAGGTGCTTCAACAAAGTATTAGTTTGAGGGTGTGTGCACTTATGCAACCAGTTTCTTGAATATTATTATACTTTTCCCCCTAACAGAATAGTTTGTTTTTCAATTGAATTGTACAGATTATAGGTCACATTAAAGGTTGGAAAAGTTTTGGAATGATTTGTTGTGGTCTCATTTTTTTATATCACAAAACCCTGGCATTTTAACAGGGGTGTGTAGACTTTGTATATCTACTATAGGTTCATACCTTATATGCACTGTGTTTTTCTTAAATTGCAATGTGGTGTTGCTGGATTTCTTCCAGTGATGGAAGCTGGGTGCCAGTGATCCGCTGGGCTGTCTTGATGATGTGTTGCATAGTCTTTCTGTTCTCTAAGTTGCATCCAGTGTACCACGCAGTGATGCAGTATATGATCACTGACTGTATGCTGCACCTGAAGAAGTTCACTAAGAGCTGCTGTGGAATTTCTGCTTTCTTCAGGCTCCACGGGAAGTGAAGCCTCTGAAGTCATTATTTGTTGCTATGACTGATGTGTTCGTGGTCCATGACAGGTCACAGCTGATCTGAACCCCGAGGAATCAAAAGCTCTGAACCACTTTGCACCTTCTCACCACTGATGCTGATAGGGTGGTGGCCCACATGTTTCTGTCTCCTGAAGTACAGGATCAGTTCCTTTGTCTATTTTGAGTTCAGAGCTCTCAAGACCAGCTTCATAACCATACAACCCCCTCTGCGAAAGCTGAGGAAAGCCCATCTCCCACCACCCATTCTCACTACCTTCTACGGAGGGACTATCGAGAGCATCCTGAACAGCTGCATCACTGTCTGGTATGGAAACTGCACCATATCGGATCACAAGACCCTTCAGTGGATAGTGAGAACAGCTGAGAAGATCATTGGAGCTTCTCTTCCCTCTATCACAGACACCTATCGCACCCGCTGCATCCACAAAGCCCCCAGCATCGTGGGGGACCCCACACACCCCTCACACACACTCCTCACCCTCC